TGGGGAAAAGATATAAAAATTCAGGACAGGCATTTTGAGGAAACCAGGCTGCTGACAGCCAAAAATAGCTGCGATTTCCCCCCTCCGGTTTATGGCCATGAGGGCACATGGGATTATTCCTGAGGTTTTTTTATTGTGCTTCTGTATCCAGAGTTGGCTGCATCCAAAGCCTGGAGCAAGCGGCTGCCCTGGGAGCCCCACGGCCAGGGAAGTGGGCACTGCACCCCTGGCTGTGGTACAAACCCCCCCCACACTCTGCGAGTTGAGCTCAACTGACACGAGCTTCCCTAAAGCCACAACAGCTCCATTGCTCAAGCCAACGTGCCAGCTCTGCTGCCCACAGCACTCGCATGTTTCCCAGATCTGTTGCACGTGGAGTTTCTCGGTTGGTGATAACCTTGGCCAGGCACGATGGGCTTGGGATGCAGAGCAGTAACGATGCCACCCGCACTGCTTGGGGTCGGGCATTGCACGTGAAGAGCAGAACACGCGTGTGAACCGGACGTGAGCAGCAGAACACACGTGGGAGGTCAGAGGAAGGGCAATGCAAGGATTTCCCTTCAGAAGGGAAATGAAGCAAGGGCAGAAGAGGGAACAGCAGCCGCAACTGTGTTGTTGGTGGCATGCAGAAAATGGCAGGCGAAGACCAAGGCTCTGGAGAGGATTTTCTCTCCTCCCCAGTGGCTCCAGCCCTCCCATCTGCCATAAACACCCACCAGTCTGCTCTGCTGAGGAACAAGCTTGGAGTGGAGAGGAAACCAGGAACACCTCATTGTTGGAGAAGAGGGAACCTCTCCTCGGCAGCAGCAGCGCAGTGTGAGGGCAGTAGCCCTAACGCATCAGCCAACCCACCCCATGAAAGGCCACTGCCCCGCTAAAAGGCTCAGACAAGAGCAACAACCACCCAAATGGTTGTTGTCCCCATCAGGAGAGCAGAAATGAGTGGGACTGCTGCCTTCATCAGGTCAAAGATGTAGCAGGAGTAGAGCAACCCAACACCCCTGACAGGTCATGGTCCCAGCGTGGGTGCTCCAGCGGCAGCGAGGGCTCAGCAGAGTGCAGAAAGGGAGAGGACACGGTCATGGGTCCCCTGTTCTAGTTCATGGCAAAGCTGTCCACAAACATAAATCCTGCACTTCTGCTAGGGGTAAAATTGAAGATGGGACAGAACTCAGGGAGGCAGCAGCAGAGCAACACTCGCTGTCCTGTGGGAGATCACCGGGGAGACTGGGGCACACACAGCGAGATGTGGTACAGCACCACTTCAGCCTCCTTTTGCTCTCTAAATCCAGACACTCTCCTCCTTCCCTCATTCCTGACACATTTGTTCCAGGCCACGCCAAAGGATTTTGGTTAATGCAAATAAAAGGGAAGGATATTATTCCACCAACAAATCATCTCTGGCTCACAGCTGTGGGGAGAAAGCCAGTGAGCAAAAACCCAGCACCGCTCATGTGCCAAACACTGCGGGATGGATTTACTGCTGCTGAAAGACGCTCAGTTGCCTGGCTTTGATATTCAGCTTGGAGGAAGTGCTGAGGGGAGCAAGATTTCGGGTGGGGGGGATCAGGTTGGCAGCTGAGAGCAGGGATGGTGCTGTGGATGTAGGACGGTGCAGGGATGGGCACAGGAGGGGTCAGAGTGCGTGTGAGGACCAGGAGCTGTATCCATGGCCGGGGGAGAAGGGACCGGGAAGGGCCCGGAGCTGCAGCTGCGCCAATGGGGCAGCACGGGCAGGGGCTTCTCCACAAACAGCGAATTTGTCAGAAACAAACAAACAAAATCAGAGTTTCAAGGGACGGAAAGAATTTGTGGCTCCAGGTCAAAGCCAGCAAATATTTTTAGCCAGAAGAGGGAGGGTTCTAAAACACCATTTTAACATTCTGTAAGTTTTTTGTTTTGCAATTGTCTCAATGAGATTTTTCTTAGTTCCTTTCCAGTGAAGACACTTCCCTTTCAAAAAGCAGCACGGCAATATTGGAAGGGTTAAGCAACTCGGGCAAAAATCTGCCAGCTTGGTCAGGACCACTTTGTTTCACTGAAACCTCGAAACATCGCTCTCTCTCAGTTTGACTGAAACAATTTTCCTCTTCCCCATGGGATTTTTCAGATCAGCCACAGAACTGAAAAATCCATTATTAGCCTGGCTGTAATGCAAACTTCTCCTGCGCTCCCCAGCCTCTCAGTGTGCTGAAATAGCCCTGAAATAGTATTAAATAATATGGCCCACTCAGTTCCCAGTGTCCCTGCAGAGGTTTCCACAGGGAGCTGGCAGATGCGACAGGGATACTCGTCTGCTCTGCAACAACTGCGTTATTCACTGTAGGGCTGGCTACAAATAATTTTCTTTAATGTTTAATACTTCACGGCCTGTTATCAGACTCCTGTCTCCAGATTGAGTGTTTTAGTGAGAAAACCTCTTCCTATGGTCTCCATTCCTACCACTTGATGACCAGCTCTCCCTTTCCAGAGCACAAACCTCCTTCCAGAAATGGCACGTGCATCTACCCAGTGCAGGTAGGTAGTATGAGTAGTACCCACGAGAGCCTCACTCCCTGCCACTGGCAGCACTGTGGAGCACCTCAGGAATAACAATGCTGAGGAGACCGCTCTGACTGAGCCTTGGCTGGAAAACCCTGGTGCAGCAGAGAAATGTTTTGCCAAAGCAGTTTAATAACCTCCTCCATCCTCCTTTGACCGTGGCTGTACAAATAAAAGCAGCCTTTCAGCACCAGTCCCTAAATTTCCCGTTGCCGAAGCAATGACCTGTCCATTGCCCTGCGATCCTACCAGTGAGGACCCCACGTCCTTTTAAAGGCGTTTTACTCACTGGTCACCTCTAAGGGTCATCAAATGGGCCACAATGCCAAGACCAAGTTTAAGCCAAACTTCACACTGCAGACCAGATGAGGATGGGACTCCTGGATGTCCGTTTACAGCTGTAGAGGCTGTACGTGTCCAGCTAGGAAACACTCATAGGAATAGAGACATTTGTGCAAAAAGAATAAAAGATTTGGCCTAGGATGGGGTGAAAAAAGCAATGCTGGGGAAAGGATCCCGAAGCAGGGATTTCACCCCCCACAGGTGTACAGACTGCACAGAGAACCGAGCAAACCTGCTGGAAAACAGGATTGTGATTAAAAAAAAGAGAGCAGAGGAAATACTTGCTACTTTGTCAGTTAGCAAAACCACTTCCCTTCTGCAAGCGAGTAAACGATCCCCTCAGAGCATTTCTGATCTGTGGCTCTCGCCTCGGATTCCAGCAGGGCCGAAACCCATCTCACCAGATTGAACCTCCTCAGCCAAGCGCTGCAAAAAGCACTCGTGGTACAAAGGAAAAGAGGTGTCATTAACAGCCCTCGCTCAAACAGCTCGCAGGGGTGGCGTGATTAAACTGAAACTTAAAAAACACGACCTGCTTCTATAGCTGCTGCTGCACCACTATACCCCATCCTGACAAAACCCCAAATGAACGAATGGAAGAGGCACCAAAGCACAACCCGGAGCCAACGTGTGGCTGGGAGCCCAGCTTGGGAGGTGGCAGCCAGTTTTGGGGATGCTGGCAGCAACCTGAAGTGCTGAGCCCTCCGGTGCAGCCGGGGCTGCAGCTCAGCTCTCGCTTTCTTTCCATCCCGTGGACTTTCCGTGCTCCGGTAACACACGCAGCCACTCGGCGTACATGAGTTTCCACTACCAGTTTGTGTCATCTGCCTGGTGACTAATTAGTGTTTGCCCAATGTATGGGAGTTCTCTAGTGCAAGGTGTCAGAACTGGGTGAAGGGAGGTTTTAAGGCGGTTTTAGGGTGAGTTCATTACTCATGCAAGGGAGACAGAGATGAGCAGAATCTGGGAAAGCTGCAGCTGATACAGTTCAGCTGAGGTCCCTGCGCCAAACCTGCTCTGCTCTCCCACAGCTTCCCCTACTGACCAGTCCTGGGCTCCCCAGCGGGGCTCCATTGGTGTCTTATTCTCAGGAGGGACCACAGAGACACGAAGGAGACCAAAACTAACCAAACTACCTGCCTTGTAATGCTAAGTGGGGGTTTTGGTGCACTTAAGCTCAAGGAAGCTGCTGCACCAGCTCACCTGTGAAGTGCTTGTAAAATACAGTTAATACATTTTGCCCCAATACATTGCACTGTCCCATGAGTGAGAAGGAAACCAATTTATGTCTTCGACACTGCACTTGTCTAAACTGCAAAAATTCTGAAAACTGAGGTATGAATCCTCCCTCCTCCCCACTTCTCCTTTCACAGTGTGTACACAGAGCTGACACCTTCTGACATTTACTTATCTGTACACTGACTCACAGTAAGCACTCGGAAGGAAAAGGTGCGTATACAGGCACTGAAATATGGTTTTGGCATTTACAGATGCAACAAACTGCGCTTTCTGTTCATTCATTACATCCCTGTAAAAACTGGGAGTCAGCCTGGTTAGATTCGCATCCTAGCTGAAAATGTGAAGTATGTACAAAGTCATACTAAGATCTATTTAAGACAGCTTTCAGCCTTTCTGAAAGTATTGTGTCCTGAGCTCAGGAAGAGATAAGAGCTATTAAAGAACTGCCTGCTAAAGTACTTCTCCAACAGGCTGGGAAGTAGGAGAGAAGTGTTTGCTCCTATATTTAATTACCCGGGGGATGTTCAGACACCACAACAATGGGGGCTGTATAAATACCTACATATATTAGCTATAACTATCCCAAGAACACTGCTACATCGCTGCACAGCCCCCCCAAGAAGCCATTGATCCTCCCAAAACAAACATCCTCAAGAACCTGAGCTCCCAGGTGTATTTCAAAGTCAGAGGCAGGATACTGAAAACAGATCCCCATCCTGCAGCGAGTGTGAAATCTCTGGCATTTTCATCATCACCTGTGATCAGCAAACCACTTACAGCAACACGAGAGACAAGAAGTTCCTGCACGCTAAGGCGAGGAAGATCACGGTCTGGGCTGTCAGGGAATGCGGCAACGAGCATCCACGCCAGCCTCTTACCTCAGTGGGATCTTAATAGCCAGGTACCGGTCGATGGCCACTGCCAGCAAGCTGAAAATGGAGCTTTGAGTCAGCACCAGCACAAAGCAGGCGAAAAAGAGGCAGCTGTGAAAATCCACCTGGAATCCGATGCTGATGGTGATGGCGAAGGGGATGGCTAACAAACCCACGGCAATATCAGCCACGGCCAGGGACACCAGGAAATAGTTGGTTGCGTTCTTCAAGGTGCTGTTGATGGCCACGGCCCAGCAGACCAGGACGTTGCCCGCGATCGACAGCACGGCGATGATCAGTTCCAGCACGATGTAGGTGGTTTTCAGAGTGTTCATGGCGAGCGCCCGGGGCGAGGAGCCAGGACCGTTCAGGAGCAGTGGGTCCCTTCTGCCGGGCACCCGTCCGCGGGTACCGACCGGCCCCGGGGCAGCGCTCCCCGGAGAGAAACACCCATGCCCGGGCTCACCGCCGCCGCCCGCCGGGGCGTGGGG